AAATGCCCATCTGCAATGATAAGGAGGAGACAGTCCTAGATAAAGGAGGCTTGAAAACAAAAGAAGCAGAGTACTAGGTTAAAGGGCTCATTAAAATACTAAAAATCACGCCCCTAGGTGGGGAAGAAGTATGCTAATGAAACACATATGTATGTAAATGAGATACATGGCTAAAACACAGGTATAGAGACATGCTCAGTAAAGAACTCCTTGCGTCACTCACTTATAACCAATCAGCAAACAAGCAGGTTTGTGAAAACTTGAAAACTCCTGTATAAAAGATGCTTAGACGTAATAGTGGGGGGTGCTTGTTATGTGAATTATTCCGCTTGCACCTTTTATTGCTAGCAATAAACCTTCTTTGTACTTTCACCCCTGGCATCTTTATTGGCCTTTGCATACTGGGCACCATCCCAGACTTGAGCTGGGGCTCAACAGAGTAACCCTGGTGCTGCGTGCTTTGAGGCCAGAGATGACCATCTTCCAGGCAACTCCAGGATGGGAGTCCAGGTCAGTCCTCATCATTGTTCTTCTTTCTGCTGATAGGCTTTTATGCTCTTCTTCTATGTTCTTCTGGTGAAGGACCTGGTAGTAATAGTTGATCTCCTGCTTGTGGGCCCTGATGGTACAAAACCTGCTCACCTCTGCCTGGAGTTCCCTCACCTGGCACTCCAGAGACTTCATTGGGGAGCATACGCAACAAACAGGGGTGCCCTTGGTATCCAGATGCTGGCAGCCATGGCAGGCAGCCCCCACAGCCTGGAGCCATAGGGTGTGTGTAGATCAAATGGGGACCCTAAACTGAAGCGGTGGGTTTTAAAACTGTACTCTGGGAAGGATAAACAGGAAAACAACACAATAGATCTCAATAACAACATAAGAGAAGACCCTTGAAGATGATAGACCTAACAATTAGCTTCAAGGATCTGGACCAGATTCTATTTGGTGTTTAGGTGGACTGTGATGCTATTCCACCCTGCTCAAATCCCTTAAAAACCTGTTAATACAAAAGATTGGTTTGTTTTCCTTATCTCTCCTATTTGTTGACTCAATATCTAGTGGTCAGATGAGGGTATGCTATGAAAGCAGATGCATTTGTCAATTTTCAGGGACTAGAACAAGGTAGAAGAGAATTAGACTTAGGCACCTAAGTCCACTTAGATCCCCACTAGGGCTAGGGACAGACATTCAAAAAGCCAGAGCCTGAACTGGTTCAACCTTTGCAGGTTAGTTTTAACCCAGCTAGGCTGAACCAGTTTGTAACTGCATAGACATGCAAGCGCAGGCCTGCAGTTGTTCCAGCTAGGAGCTGGGAGTGCTAGAGTGTGTCCTTGGCTGCAGGGAAGCTGTGCTGGGGGGGTGGGGTGTGGCCAGTCCAGGCTTAACTGGCCAAAGAAGGGTTTCATTCCCCACTCCCTGTCCCACTGGCAGGGACCTGAGCTGGGTCTGTTGGGTGCCCCACCTTGCTGCTGCAGCCATGGGCCAGTGTGGCACCTGATGCAGAGGGAGCAGGGAGTGGAGTTATTTTCCTCTCTACCCCCACTGCCCCTGGGGGACTGCAGCTGAATCTGCCCACCCCGACCACTGCAGAGTGGCAGAATAAGCCTTCGCCTGTCCTCTCCTCTAGATGCCAGAGGGAGGAGGAATAACCCCAGTTCCTGCTACCCCCCCCCCCCCCCCAAGGG